AGCTCGAAACCGATTCAGAGGCACTCAAGGCTCAAAGTTCACCTCAAGCGGAAATCATCCATCACACGATCTGGGGTTATTTCAGCCAAAGAACGGGGCTTCTCGCCATGTTCGAGGACAAAAAGCTGGTGAGGATGAAGACCGCTATTAGTAATGACAGCGTGTTTTGGGAGACCAGCGTGGAATCGATGGTCCAAGATTACCAGCACGTCGATGGGATCAACATTGCACATAGTGGGAAGACCATCACGACGCTTTACAGATACGGGAAGTCGCATAAACACAAGAGGCGAGTCGAAGAAACTTGGTGGATCGACGAGGTTGAGTTTAACATTCGTGGCTTGTCCAATGAAACTTTTCTGCCTCCAGGTGATCTCAAGAGAGAGCACGAAGAGAATTGATGAGTTAGAAGATGAAACAACGTAAATATAGGGAAAATTTTGAGAATCACTTGTTAAAACATAAAATGTCTCTTTTAATTAAAAAAAATCACATCTCTTTTTCCATATCATTTATAAATTAATAATTATTTTCTAAATCATCATAATATTCATTTTCCACATCATCTCCTCTTTGATATCAAGATTAAGAATAATTAGGGCTTTTATAGTCACATTCGTATTTTCCCTTTAACCAAAATTCAAAGAATTGCAGCACCTATTTGCTTCATCCAAAGAATTTCTTGTGTTCGTTCATTGAAGAGAGATAGAATATCACTGCAGCAGTTATTTGTCTTGTTCCCAAATTGGATCCTATCTCAAGAATTGTAAGAATCGACCTTCATCCTCCAATTTCGGACAGAATTTTCTTCAACTGGTATGCTTTGAGAGCTTTAACGAAACTATAATTTCCTGGAATTCTTTCATAATTCCTTTCATCCATGCTTATATAGGTACATCATAGCTCATACACTCCAGGCATGCAAACGTAACCAACTTTCAACAAGTCCTTAACTGCTCTCAACGTCCTCAACTGTATAACAACCTATAGTTCTAACACAAGCAATGTTGAAAATCAAAACACATGGGATGGCTGGAAAAATGGTTTTGGGCGGCTAATATAGTCAAATTTAGGCAACCAAATTGTTAAAAAAATAAAGGAATAATTACTAAATTTAATCCCTAAAATTTAGGATATTTATAAATTAGTCTTAATCTTCAACTATAAATATCCTAGCTCATTTAGCTTTAAAACCATCCTAAAGCATTCTAACTTTCTTCAAATATTAGAGAATTTAAGAGTTTTTGAGAGTTGTTTTCTCCTTTTTATCAAGAGAGAATTATCATTGTTTTCTCCTTGGTAGATCGAGAGAAGTTGTAATTCATATTTTCTCATAGTGAAATTCTTCTACCGTTGCCCGTGGTTTTTACCCTATATTATTTAGGGGTTTTCCACGTAAATTTTATGTCTCTTTTATCTTTATTTTTATTTTCTCAAATTATCAGTTGTGATTATGCTCTATCCGATAACCGTCTTCCGCAACAAGCAAATCATTAGTGAAGAAGCTACTGCCTTGGAGATAAAAATCTTTTAAATTCTGCAATAATAAAAACCATTGGTAAGAGAAATCGAAGAAAATTTAATATTTTATAGAATACATTATATTTTTTCAATCGAATAGATAAAGTTGAATTCCTCAAATAAATGAACAATCAAATTCAATAAATCAATTTAATAACAAAAGACCTTAAACGATAAAGTAGCAACTAAAATAAAATTTTAAATTTTAAACTCCATTAGGAAGCAATTTACATAACTTACTGTGAATTCTTTGATGCAATTTAAATGGATGAAACGATTGCAACACTAATGAATGAAGAAAAAGCTATTATTATTTTGGATGAAAGGAATTATGAAAGAATTACAGGAAATTATAGTTTCTTTAAAGCTCTCAAAGCATACCAGTGAAAGAATATTCTGTTCGAAATTGGAAGATGAAGGTCGATTCTTGCAATTCTTGAGATAGGATCCAATTTGGGAACAAGGCAAATAACTGCTGCAGTGATATTCTATCTCTCTTCAATGAACGAACACATGAAATTGTTTGGATGAAGCAATCGCAGCACTCGGATGAAGCAAACAGGTGCTGTAATTCTTTGAATTTTGGTTAAAGGGAAATACGAATGTGCCTAGAAAAACCCTAATTATTCTTTATTTTGATATCAAAGAGGAAATGATTTGGAAAATAATTATAATAAACAAATGATTTTTTTGGCACTTATATTATCCGTGGTAGATTTTTTTTTTGAAAATAATAATGCTGAATTTATTGAAGTAAGTTACAGGACCAACCGGTTATAACGTAAATGAAAAGCATTGATAAAGAAAAGGAAAACCGGTTACAGGACCAACCGGATGTACTATAAAGGGAAATGCATGTAAGTTGAGCAAATTGACGACGAAAAGTAGAGAGATCGAAGTGCATGGTTCTGGTAACTTTAAGCAGAAATGATTCTAACACACAGCAAGTTCATATGAGGGCGAGCTCCTCACTCAAGAAGCCAAGATAAATCAATGCATGCAGATGAAAACAAAACACAATCGGAGAGGAGTATGAAAGGAATTCTCCGACGAGCTATGTAGCTCAAAATTCAGACTAGTCAGGTGGATCAACCCACCACCTGTCACGAGTCACCCCCGGTTAAACTTCGAGAGGGACTTCTTCAATCCACACCATCTGAGCTTGATAAAAACGACCCAACTTGGCCATGACATGAGCAGCAAAATTTTGGAAACGACGAACAAAATCCTTCACCATCTGAGATTGGAAAATATTTTCTTACAGTGAATATATATATATAAGCAATACTACTTCCGTCTCATTTAAAATATTTATTATTAATTAATTTTTCAATTTTTTTTAAAATTTTAACTCTTTATTATTTTAAATTTATTATTGATAAAAATGAAAAATATATTTTAAAACCTTCCATCAAGCAGTTTTAAAATGTATCTATTATAAAATTTAATTTTTTAAAACTTTAAATTAATTGTGATCAAAGTTTAAAAAATTAACTTTTAAAAAATCAATAAAAATATAATTTTAATGGAGACAAAGAAAATATAAATTTTTTGTATATACGATGTATACATATAAAATTTTAAAATAAAATAAATAATTAACATGAAAATTAATTTTAAAATATACATTTGTCCCTCTTAAACCAAACGTGCGTGCAGTCACCTATTATATGTCAAAATTTAGAAATTAAGAGTAATAAATTAAAATGTAAAAGTGTAAGGAGTACAAGGACTGAGAGCATAATTAAAACAGCTAATAGTTCTAATTATTTCTTTCTGCTACATCACTGCTTTTACCTTTTAGCCAAAACATGTAGATTTGAAAGCTGTGGTTGAGAAGTGAAAATGAAAGAGCAAGACTCCCCCAAAACACTTTCGAATGCAATCGCTTCACAGCAAAAACAAGCAACATCGAGTGCTGTGAAGAAAGGTAGCTCCGTAAGTGGTTTCTTTGGTAAAAGTGGGTACAAACATCAGGTAAACATGGACCAGAAAGCAAGAAAGATGGCTCCAGTAAACAAGCAATTCTCCTACTTGCTTTCCGGTCCATGTTTACTGGCTCTGTTTCCGTCAAATGGTCTTCCGGTGATCTTTCTACGTTCTCTGATGACTTTGAGTTCTTTGTCGGTGACGATCTCGCCGTCCTTGTAAGCAACTCTAGGTGGTGAGAAAGATGTGGGATGTTTATGCGCAAAGCGCCAGCTTCGATTGCCAAGGTTTTGGCTTGAAGCTTATGAATATTTATCAAGTGATGTTCCTGGAGTTCGAGAGGCTGGTATTTCTGAGATTTCTAAGTTATCTATGCACTCCTTAAATCTTGGTTTGCCCTCTGCTCAATCAAAGGTCACTCTCTTGTTCTTTTCCTTTTTGTTCCCCATTTTTTGTTCATCTTTTTAACCTACAAAGTGGTTGAAATAAAGGTTAGAGCTCGGATTTAGCATTTTTGTGGGCTTTTTTGGTCTCCTAACAGACATTCAGATCATCCATAACTTTTCGTTCTCAAAGGAACCTTCAAAGTATATAGTTCAAATAAAAAAAATCAAATATGATTTGATAATAATTAAGTTGAGCCCGAGTGACTCAATCTATTGGTCGAAATGAATTTTGAGCACCATAATATTATAAACGGATGTGAACCAAATTAGATATTTTAAATATTTCAAAATTATTAAATTATATAAATATCATTATTTTTAATACAAAAGGCACTTAGTTCCAATTCAAATTCAAGTTTAAACTTAAATATAAATGAACTTAATCGAACTTAAGTAAAAATAATAATACTCAAACTTAATTTCTATTATATTTCAAGCCGAGTTTGACCAACTTAAGCCATGTATCGAGCCTCACTAGACTATCTTTTCAAAAGTCGTACTAAATTCTACTCGGATTTTATAAACTCGAATCGAATCAAAAAAATTTAAATCAATTTCGAATTGTAATGTAGAACTCATCAAGTTGAATAATTAAAAAAAAATTTACTCGACTCATTGAAAGTTCATTCCTAAGTGTATGTAGATAATAAATTAAATTTTAGATCTTATAATTTACTACTCATTTTATTTTTTATATTTACTTAACGAAATATTGAAAGAATGAAAATATATGATAAATAATGAGATTAATTTAAATTCAAATAATTAAAATTAAATTTTATAGAAATGAAAGAGATTCCACCTGTTATTATCCTATAAACGTTTAATACAGCTTTCTTGCCCAATAGGATGTTTAGAATAAAAAAATTAAGTTTATAATATGTTTTTTTAATTGATCTGAGTGAGTCACATGAACGATTAATTTATTGTTTTTAATTGAATTTATCATTTTTGACGTGATGAATTTATTAAAAAAAATCATAAATCTCTAATTTACAAATTAAGAAGGGGAAGAACTCTAATTTTTTTATTCTAAACGAAAAAAAAAACCGCATTTAAGCAGGGCCGCAAGGTAAGGATATTGAATGGCGCGCATAGAAATGGCGGGAACACATGGCGCCATGGTTGCCTAAAATCCAGGGTTTATTTCTATATAACAACAATCGCCGTGGCTCCAGTTCGCTAGTCCTTAAACCAGTCTGTTGGAATCGTTCGTTTCTTTTCTTTACGTTCTCAAGATCTCTCGCGATGGCTCAAGCAAATCTGATTAATGACAGCCCTGAAATCAAAGAGCCTTCCCCCAAAGTCCCAAAACTCAGTCAAAACGGAGTACATGAAGTTACCCAAGGTCCAGTCTCGCTTTTGAAAGTAAAAAAAGACTCTCTGAAAAAGCTGTTTTGCCGTCTAGAAGCTCTGCTCTTGCTGCAGGCTACGATCTGTCAAGGTAAGTTCTCAAACCATTATCGTTAATGGAAATCTCCATAGATTTATAATAAATGTTGGATTTTTTTTAAATTATTGGCACAGTGCAACGGATACCAAAGTGCCTGCTAGAGGAAAAGCGTTGATTCGTACTGATCTAAGCATTTCAGTACCGGAAGGAACCTATGGCCGCGTTGGTATAAATCTCTTACTGTATTTATCATCCCCTCATTAATCCAACATGATTGGCTGAATTAAAATTTGGGGAATTTGTATTTTGGGTGTAGCGCCAAGGTCTGGTTTGGCTTGGAAGCATTCCATCGATGTAGGTGCTGGAGTAATCGATGCAGATTACAGGGGACCCCTTGGGGTGATTTTGTTCAACCATTCGGATGTTGACTTTGAAGTGAAAGTGGGCGACAGAATTGCCCAGTTGATTATTGAGAAAATCATGACACCCGATGTTTTGAAAGTTGAGGATTTGGATGCTACCACTAGAGGCGATGGGGGATTTGGCTCCACTGGTGTTTAAACCTCTCTGTTTTCTTTTTCCTGTCGCAGTGTATTAGGATTAGGGGTCGTTTTAGAGGGCTAAGTTTGGTGGGCGGCACTGCTGAAACAAAATGCTTTCCTTTGTTTTGCTGTTTGGGCAATGTCTTTGGAAGAAGCCATCAATGATGTATTCGGTAATCGGCGGTAACTAAGTTCTCTTATTGATCTTTGCACAACTGTCCAAGCTGTGCTATTTTATCCGCACGTTAATATCTATGGTCTATTGTCAATGATTTTTTCTGGTCTTTTAACGTTGAACCTCAACCTTATCATCAGGAATGGAAATCATTGTGCACAACTTTTCATTTGACATTGCCAGGGACGTGTAGTTCCAAGTGATTCCAACTGCTTGTACTTGGAAGACTAAAGCCATAACCATAATAAAGTGGTGCAAAGCCATTAGAATAACAATGAAGCCCTCGGCAGTTATAACAAATATAAAAGCAAAGAAGCTACTCACCTGTCTAATACTGTAAGCATTAAGAGATGGAAGCAAAAGCCAGAGGGCCTATTTCGAGAAAATGTTTAAGGAAGAATATAACAGTTGGGGGATTAAGGACTTACATCTCTATCGGGACCGACGAAACCTTGGGGTAACGAGGGTAAGCCTTCCCCTTTCTCATTTAGAGTTAGATTCGGTTATTTGTGGTTCGAAAGGAGAGTTTTTTTTTAAAAAATTTTATGGTCGATTTAAGTTCGAATCAGGAGTTGATACTTTGGAGTTTCTTACCGAGGCTTAGAGTGACATTTTAATGGGTTTAAGCTCCTCGTCGGAGCTAGGTAGGCTGTTGAAGGAGCTCTGTCCATGATCTGATCTTTCTGGTAGGGTAAAAAAAGAAGGAAAATGTGGTGTGTATGTGCGCGCGCGCGCCGGGGGCTGGGGGTTGTGAAGGCGAGTGAACGGCTGAGTAGGGCTGTTTACTGTTCGGTTTTAACCGGATTAATTGATAAAACTGATTTAGTTATTGAATTAGTCCGATCTGGAACAGTTAATATTTTTTTAATTTTCAATTGACGGTTAATTCGGTTCGAAATCAATTAACTAATTGAATTAATTGAAATTATATATATATATATATATATATATATATATATATATTAAGCTCAACCCAATAAGAAATCATACTAAATTATTTTTTAACCACAATACACTCATTAAATTATCAATACCTAATTAAATTAATTCAAATAAAAATATACATCTATTATTTTAAATTAATCTAATTATAAGAAATTCTAATTTTTTGGTTAATTTAGTTAACCGATCGAAATAATAGAACTTTATTCAATTCAGTTAATATTTTCAAGAAAATATTTGATTTGGTTAATATTTTCAAAAGAAATTTGATTTGATTAATGATTAAAGAAAAAAAATCAGATAAGACAATTAATGATAATTCGATTCGATCGGTAGCTAAATAAACCGTATAAACACCACTATGAGTGAGCAGAGGAAACTAAGCATAATGTTGTTTTAGGGTTTTTTTAACTTAACAAAGTTTAACAAAACCCAAACATTCTGCCGTTTTGAGCAAATGTGGGCTAAGAATTGTTCTTTTTGTATCATTGGGTTTATTTTGTATTTAGTACCTTCAGTTTAAAATGTAATACATTTTAGTCCTCCAGGTTCACATGTTTATATTTATGCTAGATTTTTAAATGATTATGTTGTGATCCCTGCCTATTTTAGATATTGTTCTAATTTGTTACATTTGATGCTTGATTTATTCGCAAGCTTAGTCCTAATTATTTATGATATGTTATGATTTAACCTTTGTTTTAAGTTGTTTTAGCCTTTGTACCTTTTTTATTATATTATTTTATAACCCTTGTTTTTTTAAAATACATGTATATAGCCTTTATGTTTTTAGATATTTTTAATGTAATTGTAAATATTATATATTACAAGTATTAATATATTCTCATGTGTTTTAAATCTTTATTAAAATGATAAAAAAAACTATTAAAATTCGATAATAATAATCGCTAATTTTTATGTATATTCATATTACTTTTATTATATATAAACGGTTTTATAAATTATATGTTATATTATATGATAAACGGTTTTATAAATTATATCTTTATTAAAATGATAAAAAAAACTATTAAAATTCGATAATAATAATCGCTAATTTTTATGTATATTCATATTACTTTTATTATATATAAAAGGTTTTATAAATTATATGTTATATTATATTTACTTTATACGTGCATTTTATAAATATTTATACATACTTCTTTTCATATTTTAATAATAAAATTATTTTTATAAAATTCAAGTTATATCTATTTTTGGGAATATTCCGATCGAAGAGCGGTCCATGAGAAATCCTCCAAAATATAATCTAGAGTTTGATTCCTTAACACGTACGAGTGATGGAACATCCCGTCAAATTTTTAAATCTTAATAAATATAAATATTGTTTGTCATTTATTTATTTATTTTTCATATTATATTTGATATTTCATTCATCATGTACGTATCACAATTAAACACAATATTGTTTTGCGTCGTAAGTTAATGGAATTACGTTCAACATGACTGAATTTTAATTTCTATTAATTTACGTAGTAAAAGAGACATCATTTTTTAAATAAAATCGGGTGAATTAAATACTTTTTCATTGAGTCTGATTTAAAAAGAAAAAAGAAATTCATTCATTTTTTTGTTTCATCAAAATAAAATGATTGTAATTTAAATTTTGGATTTGAATACATAAAAGTTTCACTTTTTAGACAACGTATAACCGAGAGGTACCAATTTTGGATGATGTGGAGTGCGTACCATTCCCCATGCGTAATTGACTTTCGAATCCTTAAAATGAATTTCTTATAATACGCAGACCAATTCATCTTTTAAATGATTTTTTTAAAATTCGTTAAAAATATATTTTTTAGATATTTGGCCTACTGTAGACACTATATTTCGTCCTATCATAAATAACCATACATATATATGTTATATAATTTATATGTTACTTATATATATATATATTAGTAATTTACATATCCTTTTTTCCCTTTTTTTTACAGGCCCAATGTTTTCAACACCCAAAGATCGGCCCATAACCCAACTACAAGCCCAACAAACTGGTTCAGGCTAGGGTTTCCAAAACCCTAGCAAGTTGTGTCTCACTCCTCACCAGCGCCGCAACTGAAGACTTCACATGCCTCACGAGTCTTCACGCCAACACGCCTCCAACAGCCCGAACTTTCCGGCGTAAGGATCTCGGCCAACACCAACACGCCGACAAACGTGGATACATGAAACATGAAGCATTAGTGTTCTGTTAGAATTTAAATACCCAAAAGTATGAGCAAATGGACTATAAATATAATGTAATCCTTACTGTAATTTTCACGATTGATATATACAAAGCATACACAATTTTTTACAGTGGAAATACTAGGAATATACGAGCAAAAATACGAATATTCGAAGTAACCCAAACAATTTTCTGCAAAATTTAGAAAAGCAGAAGGTAAAAATTCTACCTTTTTTCAGTCCCTTTGTTGTTTACATGTGTACTTTCGTCGTTTTCAGTTTGAAAAATACAAATGCCGATGAACGGTGGGGGGTACTTTTCGTGATCTATTTTTTAGATCTACACCCCTACGAGGCTTATTTTAAGAAACGAGGTTATTTTTATGAGAGAGATGATCAAGGGCTTCAAGAAAAAAACAAAATTTTTTACTTTTGCCACTAATGACCGGCGGACGACGCCGATCAACGGCGGCAACGAGGCGGCGTGGGGTGGCCATTGGCCATTTTTTGGGTTTTCGTGGTGGTCGTGTTCTTCAAACGAAGAACACAGTTGAATGGGCGAGAGCATTTGTTTAAAGGAGGGGCATGGGGTTTTGAAATGAGAATGAAATAAAGATTAAAACATTTTTTTGGCTTTATACTGGACCCACGGATCCTCAATGACCCGCGTGTTGACCCGGCTGGTACCCTAGACCCGCGTGTTTTCTAAAGAAAAAGGGATAATTGCTTTAGGTCCTCCTCGTTTCTGCATCCTTTCATTTTTCCCCAAAATCCATTTTTAGCTTCGAATTTCTTTTTAATTTGGCCATATAATTTACTTCCCTTTCAATTTAACCACTCTTTCGTTTCAAGATCTGAATTTAATCTTAAATTGAGCCCTCAATTTTGTTTTATTTCAATTCGGTCCCCTGATATTTCCTTTGCTTTTATTTAAATATTTTACTATATATATATGTTTTTTTTAAACTATTTTTTTATTTTATCATTTTATACATGTATATATTGATTTTCTTACCTTTATTTATTTTGTTAATATTAATATTAGTATATATATATATATATTAAGTATATTTTTCTTTTTATTCTTTATATTCCTCTATTTTTTTATTATATTATATTTTTATTATATATATATATATATGTTTTATATCGTATTTGTTATATATATAGGTATAGATGTATTTTTCTTTTATCCATTTTTATTTATTTACTATACATATTTTTTATTCTTTTTCTTACCCCCTTTATGTTTTATTTACTTATTTATTTGTTTTTTTCCTGTTAATTGTATATATTACTATTATTATTATTATTTTTCATTTTGTTTATTTTATTTATCTCATTAATTTTTTTCTTTGCCTTATTTTGATTTGCTTTATTTCTTATTTTCTATCTCGTTTGTCATTTTTAATTTCCTTATCATTTATTTTCCTTTTTTTTTCTAATACATCTTTCGACTTTTAAAGGGTACATTTTCAATCAATCTAAGGTAAGTAATTCATATTGTTATTTTACCTTTCAAATTAAAATTACAACTTTCTTAAGTAAAGACAACTGAAAATTACGTAGTACCGAAATGGCAGTTCAAGGGTGCTAACCCTTCCTTGACTGTAACCGACTCCCGAATCCGACATATCACTGGTAAGACGCAGATCATGTAAGAGATAAGGTATCCGATCTACCCATTTGTTTTAAAATAAAAGATCGGTGGCAACTCCTAATCCATTTTCCTAAGTCGAAGCCCAATTCCGGGCCCACCCGAAAGAAGGTTCTGACAGCTTGGCGACTCTGTTGGGGAAACAGGTAAGTGAGTCAGGCTAAGGTAATTTCCAGTTCTCTTTTTAACAAAAAGGGTAAGTTTAAATTTTAAGGTAACATTTCTATCCTTATTGCTTACTTTTGATTATATTTTCGAGTAAATAGTTGTACTGACCGTTTTTTAATGATTTCGACCCTTAA